CAGTGACCAGGACACATGATGTTTTGAAGAAGGAAAGGACTAACTTGGAGCTAAAGAATCGATTGCACCTTTCACACTCACAGAGCCTGCTTCAAACACTTCACTGTCTATGATCAGATCTGTAAGTGACTCTGACCTCCTTTGACCTTCGAGAAGCATATATTCTGGTCCACTAGACAGGTCTTAGCTCCTAGATAGCCTCTAGCTAGGGTTCTATCCCTTCACCCTCGTGCCCTCTCAGCTCCCTGCCCTGCCCTTGCTCTCCTGTGTCATTGTCTCTCCTCTTTACCCCAATTTTCCCTCCTTGACGTCAGTCAAGCAAGGAGGTGGGAGAAATGCAGTTAAGTTGGTCCTTGAATGAAGAAATTTTTAAAGTCTGTAAATTAGTTGTCTACAAGGAGATCTTGAGGACATCTGTATATTATGGACTTTCCTGAACTACTTTATAAAAAATTAAATAAGGCATAACCTTATAAATTGACTTGAGTGCACAATATTAGGTTAAGAACAGCAATTTGATTTTGACACATCAGTTTTTAAAAAATGAAGGAAGATCCATATGGTCTCATTGTCATAAAAGAAAAAAAATGATAATTCAAAAAAAAACACTGAACTTTAAGGGAAAAAATTTTAAAATATGTGTACCAGATATTGTATACATTTACTTAAATACTGTGCTTATAATTCCCTAGAAATACTTTGAAGAAAAACTTGATATGTAACTGATTGTTTTTTTTTATTTTTTTTAATAAAAATATTTAGTGAAATGACATTTTAACTCCCATTTATGGATTTTAAAAATACAAATAAAATTTATCAATTTGATATTCAGCTTGTAACAGGCTCAATACATAGCCTTGATTTATTTTCTAAAATCATTTTTGAAAAACTAAATGCAACTTTATACCTTCATTGTTATAAGAGAGGTAAATATTTGAATAGTACACTCATCCCTGGGTCTCTTAAAAAAATTGAAAAGTCAGCATAAGTTTAAAATTTTAATATTTATAAATTTAAAAAATTTTACACGTGCTGAATGGTAGCAGTGCTAACATTTTGTGACCATTAAACCACAAACTCACTGAATAGAGCTTCTTTCTTTGTACACAGAATCAAATCACAATACCAATATTTGCAATTTGTCATAATTTTGCGGTAAAAGACATCACACCAGAAGCCTGGGCTCAGAGCACACTTGAGGTCAGATCCCCAGGAGGTACATAGTGCAGATGTGGTATTTAACTTCAGGCTAGGGAAATTTGCTGTTAGTATATATCTGACAGCTCCTAATAGCTAAGAGACCTAAAAATACAGTCTGAAAAAGAGAAAATCAGACCTCTCCTCTGCTGAGGACCAGGAACAGGTGAAGGAAGAGCAAACCACAGTGGGTGAGGAGGGTGGATAGATGGTTCATGGAGTGAGTCTCACAGGTGATAGATTATGTGTAAGCCACACCTCTCAGTTCATGGTAGGGAATAACCACCACAGCTATCTTAGAATATTCTATCTTACAAAGACTTCCACACAGAGAGTTACAGGCTAGAAACAGAATTCTTCATTCATCTTCTTTAAAAATAAAACAGAATGGATGCCCACTATTAAGCTTCTATCTTTACCTGAACCAAATTATTCTTTGGCTACATATGTCATGGGTTCTCATTATTTGCCCAATGGCATTTCTTACATCTAAATTAAAAAGCTTAAAGTTCAACTTGAACCATGGCACTTCAAATCAATTTGGGCTCAGCAAGATGCCTACCTTGGACATATTTTAATGTCAGATAATCAATTTTTAAAGAATTCTTAAATGCAGTGTTTTCAGAACATAGTTACCAACTCAGAGAAATACCCACTTACATTTAAAAATAATTTAAAAGATTATTATATTCTCAAATCATTTGTTTTATGGAAAAATTTACAGGAAATTATGTTAAAACTTCATATCTGAATCAGTTCCTTATTTTCTGGTTTGAAAAACAAAAACAAACAAAACCCCTAAGAAATACTGAGGTTCCTTCTGACTTAAAAGGTTAATATTTTATTCAGGAACCAATAATGACAATTACCTGACAGAGACAGCTAACTTAGCAAGATCCAACAACCACCACCTCTAACAAAAGAGATGGCAAATAGAATACAAGTAATAAAAATCGTATTTTAAGGGTTATACCAACACTGTCTACCAAGAGATTCAAACTTGGAATCCTTGAAACTGACAGCTAGTTTCCCTTCAATACTTGAGGGGTTCATAGAAATTTTAACAGAAACAGAAACATGGTAATGTTAGGACTTTAGAGACTTGACATTTTTGGTAAGGGAGAAAGTTCAATCAAGACAGGGCAGTATTAGTAATGCTGACTGGTGGGGGGATTATATAGAAGCTTGTTTTTGAAATGAAAATTGTGAAGGAAAAAAATAGTAGTAATCATCTCTTCTGAACAGGGCAATGTAATTTAAGTAGATACACAGTTTACCATAAAAATAAGTCTGAATTCTTAAAATTAGTTTGAAAAAACCTGCAAAGTTTTGTTTACATAAAATGTTACACTTTATACCAGATGAAAACTCAATGCAGTGATGTTAACATGCCACTGTCTTCCAACAAAGCAAAAGACTGCCAGGCAGAAAAGACCCAAGTAACTGTGTTGGAAAGAATACTGTCAAATACTCTCAAGCAGTTTGGCTATCAGCAGCCACCCATCCAGCACAAGGATCATAAAATCATACCACCCCTTTTAACAGAACTACAAGAACAGAGTTACAGGTGCTGTTACATTAATACAAAGTGTGAGTATACAAAGTCCTTAGTAATTGTGCCTTAGGACTCCTTAGTGATGGTGCCTTGGGAAACAAATAAGGAACAAAAATCAAACAAAGGGTACAAGGAAAACTTAAGTTTAGAGGATACTATGTGAACAACAGAAATTTAATAAAACAATCTAAAAATTGAACACTTAACAGTGCCCCTTTAACATATATAAAGGACACAAATAATGTTTTTGTTTAAAAAAAAAAAAACTTTAACAAATTAACAGGCAGTTGTAATTGGAAAAACCAATTTACTAAATTCAGCCAGTGTTCAATACCCACTGGGCCAAGAGCATTAAGCAAAGTAAAACAAAATCTGAAGAGCTAATAAACATAGCTTAAGACAAAACTGAGAAAATGAAAAAGATCCAGACTAAACAAATATCCAATTAGGCAAACGTATACACAAACACCCTGAAGAGTCTAGCTGGTACAATTCAGTGGTATCCTTACTACCTAAAATGTGGTGTCAACCCCCATCCCCTTTGCCACTAATTGACATTCTGATGATCTCTTAAACATTATTTGGTCCAATCTGAAGTAAATGTTGTTTTAATTAAAAATAGTCTACAAAAATTGGAGTATTAGAATCTGGGAAAATTTAGCAAATATTTCCATCTGGATAGGAGTTATTTAAATACAGATGCCTTTTTACTTACTAAGGCATTCCTTTCCTACCTATCTTTACTTTTAATAAAAACCTGATTATAGTTTTGTCCTGGCCAGTCAGTTGTGGGTCTCAGTGCCCTTGTGTGTCTCAGGGACCATATTTATCACACATATACACTACTCACAAGTGCTGAGGAAGCTTGAGGGAGTGAAGAAACACAAAACAAAAACAATGCAAAGCAAAGTGATCCCTAGTGCACATCACTTCAAGGGGAAAAAAAAAGCAACCTAAAACAAACACATCATTCAAAGCATTTTTTGAAATATAAAAAATGTGTCTTTCATCAAGAGTAATACTAGTTTTCTTCCTCACAATCTTGCAAGATGTTTTTGTTCCACTTTTATTGTTAGTGATGATCAAATTAAGAGAAATGATCCTCAAAAAGTTATGGCTATGGACCTCATATTCACTCATATCTAACATCACATGCACAGGTGGGATGAATTTAGATGCTTCCAGTATTGTCTGCTCTGTCTTTAGCACAGTTACACAAAGTTTTGCAGAGCATCACATGTGAAGATGTATATGCTATGTGCAATTCAAATATAATAGCTGTACTTGCAGGGTGGGTTAGCAGACAGTTATTAAGGATATGTGGAAGGAGAAAGTCTACCCCTCTGTAGCAGATATTCAAATGCACCTATTCCAGAATCCTCTATTTGTCATTGTGTTGTGAGATTCTGGTTTGTAAAGCGTGAAGTTTCATATGCCTACAGTTTATAAATTAGCTTTCATTTCCATAATTTAAGCTGGTACACATTATTAAAGGAAGCATGACAGCAGTATAAAAATCCTGATTAGAAAGATCCAACTAGAGGATCTAGAGTAGACTTTTTAATTTCCGAAATTAAATTTGCGTGACTTCTGTGACACAAGAATAACACCCACTTCATAATTATTGCCCCTAATGCCCCAACGTGTAATAGTCAGTAATTCTATTGTGTGAATCAGTAATTCACATCGTTTAAAAATAGTTATTGCTTAAGCAAGCTATTCAGAGTAGATATGGGCTGTGTGGCTGGATAGAAACACACTTGGAAAGTTAAATACATGGGGATAAGCCTTTTGTTTTACTCATAAACCCACATAAATTCACCATCAAATGGGGCAACAGGTTCACAGCAGCTAATACCCTAAACCAACTCTGGAGCATCAAGACTTGATTTCTTACTTAAATCTGCCTCCCCCCTTAAAATTAAGGCAATGAAATGGCTACAGTTCCTAGAAGTTCTTTTTATGGAACAAAAATATACACATATTTTCCTCAAGTTCAGGCATCAGAGTATGATTAGAGACCTGTATTAATTACACAAAACCTGTAACATGGGTTGATGAGAGAGAAAGAAGAGAGTGAGAGACAAAGAAGAGAATACAGAGTGTGAGAGAATGAGAAAGAACATCAACTAAAAAGAATCCAACAAACATCTGGTGATTTTTTTTTTCCTGCTCAATCACAAACCTAATTATCAAAGGGAAGAAACATTGAAAAACACAAAACCTCTTAAAGAGTTTCAATGTCTCTTGCATTGATTTAAAACTTTTGGGGTGATGGAGAGGAGGAGCTTACTAAATTGCAGACCCCAAGGTCCAACCACCAGATTCTGACTAAAGGTTTATGGTTGGGCCCAAGACTCTTCCTTTTCACCAGATCCTCAGAAGGTGCAGGTGGTCTATGGACAACATTTTGAGAAACATTGCCTAGAACACATCCACCTAATATTTAATTACAAAAACTCTAAACTTTGGCTAGCCACCTATGCTTTGATAAAAGGGGAAAAGGCACTGGATATGTATTTCTTGGTGCGCATATCTGCTTGCACATATATGGAATTGCATTTTGAAAATTTTAAGTCACCATTTAAAATCTAGAAGACATGTATGTGACAGCTTGTGGCTAACACCTAACAGCAGAAGCTGATTCAAAGTTGACCTCTCCTGTTTCACTGCATTCCATATTGAAGTTTCAGGCTCTCCAAAATCCAAAATGGCCAAAAGAACTGAGGAACAGGACAAGACTCATGCCAACTTTCAGCAATTCAGTGCACTTTGCAGAAAGGATCTATATTAAGCATAGAGTTTTGTTGTTTATTTTACACAAAGGAGACCACCAACATTTGCCATAAATTCTTCTAAACTCTTTAGGAAGGACATCTTCTGCTTCTGATCCAGCGTAGGAGGAGTGCTGCTTGCAGTGAGCTTGTTGAAGGCATCTGCTAATCTCTGGTAAATAACTGGGTCTTGTTGACTTGAGAGTAATGTCTCAACCAGTTCAGAATATTCAGCCTGATGTAAACACACCAAAGTGTAGAAAGCTTCACCAGCTGCAGTGGTCATCTCTGTGTTGTGCTTTTGCAAAACCAGCATGTCAAAAACCAGCTTAAGAAAGTGCCGAGTTGCTAGAAAAAGTGGTGAATCTGTTTCTTGTGCTTTTGCGCACTGTTCAGCTAATGGTGTCAGGGCCTCCAGGCAGAGCTGGCAAACCTCTGAACTCATTGATGTCATTCCTAGTTCTAGGGAGTACATCAGACTTTTAAAAAGATCCTCAGGAAGCTGTGGTATTTTTTCAGGAAAAATCTCACAAATAAATGTGATTAATTTGTAGTATTGATTACAAAGTGTTGGAAACTTCAAAAAATCTTGTGACATCAAGGGCAGAACTAGGTTGACCCCATATAAAACAACATCAGCTGCTGATACAGATATGTTTGCTGCTTGACCCGGCTCATGTCCTTCATCTGTGTCACTGAAATCTTATGAATTCTTTTGACAGAAGGTTAGTAAGAAGTTCCATAATGAGAAGCAGGTCTTGGTACTGTTCTTCTTCGGCAGTAACATCTATTCTTTGCCTCCCTAAATTATTCTTAGAATATACTTGCAACAAAGTAAGGCAGGCTTCATATAAGTTCATAGCTTTGGACTCTCCAAGATAGCATATATGCTTATGTGCAACTTCAACAAAAACTTCTATAATGAGATTGACAGTCTCTGGGGTATTTTTGTAAACTTCCATCAACCCAATGCAATTGGTAAGGAAGTCCATTAAAAAATTAAAAAGAATGGCTACATTGTCAATCTGGGTAGCCTCAGCAATGCCACAAAGGGCCTCCAGCGTAGCGTGATTTCCTGCTTGATTTCCTCTTGCTGACACATCTGCTGAAAGTTTTCTTGGTTTATCACTCTTAAGAATCACTGCTGAAGTGGCTGAAGAACCTCTGTCCAATATTGTTGTTTGGTTTCTGTATCCATATGTGCAAAACCCCCTAAGACAAGAGCCTTCATTAGTGTCCTCTGCACAGGACTTGACAAGAAATTAAGAGGGGGACTGCGGCTTGCAAATTGCTTAGCTAGGTTCCACCAGTTTTCACACTGAATTACTAAGTTTGCTCTTTCTCTTCTTTCCACCAAAGTGACAAGGAGCTGCACAGTATCATTTGCAAGGCCTTGCTCACTACTCCAGACTGAGAGGTTACTGATGACTTTTTGTAAGAGGTAGCCAATAATCCACTGAGAACCTTCCGTATCTGCTCCAAATGCTGTACTGAATGGCAGACTTATCTGATCATACAGTTTTTCATCCACAAGGAGATAAGTCTTGGCCCAGCGTTTTAGAAACCAAACAATATCTTTGCCCATTTGAGGGCTTAGTAGGTGAGTGAGATCTGCTCTTATTGCTCGAGATTCAACTTCTGAAACTCTTAGAACAGCAGACAATAGCCTAATCACAGAATCTGTTCTGTTGTACCCTGGGATGGAAGAAGCCTTTTCTCCTGGAGATCCCAAAATTTGAAGTGTTGTATTAATGTCAACTTCAGATGAATGCTTAATGGAATATTCCATTATTTCTGGAGGTATTAGCGGAGTCTCTCCCTGAGTATCATCAGCTAAGAGGTAGCCTGTAACTAAAATAAGCCAGTGAATATCTTCATAAAGATCATCAAGCATTTTGTTATCAATGGTGCTTGAACAAGGTGAAGCAAGTAATTGTTGCTGATGTCGCTGTAACTGACCATGGAGTCTTGTTACTCTTTCTTCTAATAAACCCACAAAATAGGAAACAAGAAAACTAGGAGAGAAAATAAGCAACTAAGGGTAAATATAAAAACCTTAAAAAAAAAATTAGAAGATAGAAATAAGAAAATGGTTGAAAATGTCAAGTAAGGTATTACACAGATAGAAAATGCAAAAAGCTAAGACAACTATTAGATACAGACATATACTTATTAAAGCAAAAAGAGGGAATTGGAAGGGGGTATATATCCCCCAAAGATAAACTTAAAATAACGCTTTTTACTCTAAACTTTTTAAATTTGGATTCATCAGGACTTAGTGCTGCGGAAAGGCATATGTATCCAAAAAATGTACATAAGCCTAAAGTACTTTGGAAAGATATTCTAACAGGACAATGGAAAGGTCCTGACCCAGTGATTGTCTGGAGTCGGGGGTCTGTTTGTGTTTTTCCACAGGGAGAACAGCAGCCCATTTGGATTCCAGAGAGATTAACTAAAACAGTTTCTACAGATCGAAAAGAAGATGATTTGACTCAAATCCATAACAGCTGATATCCAGAACTCCAGCTTGGCCATTCTTACATCTGCGACAGTGATTAACCAGGATGCTTTTTTCAATAGCTATTTTATTATTGCATTTTTCCACATCATAAGGTTCTATTTTTATTTTTTGAGCTCATACAAACCTAGGTTAATGTTTTTCTGATCAGTTTTATTTTTTGACTGTGGAGTTTTTAAACATTGCAATGGAGATTTCACCCAGGTAAAGCTACAAGGCCTTTACTATTTTCTTATGTGTTGTACGTTTGTGTACACTCTTGTGTTTTGTGTTGTATGTCTGTATGTGCGTATGTCCATATTTCTTATATGAGGAGCGCTCATGAAAAAATGATCCGAATTATTATTATTTTTTTTATTCACGTGATTTAAATGGTTTAATTTAAATTATGTAAACAGCTGTTAAGGATTGTTTTTAAAGGTGGTTAACAGATCTGTTTGTTTACTAATTTAAATTAGGTAAAAGGCTGTTAAGGATTGTTTTTAAAGTAGGTTAACAGATCTGTTTGTTTACTTTCACCTTTCCTTTTCATTATATTTAATAATTCTTTTCAGGATACTGTCTCTTTAGCATCATTGCCAGAATTCCTATCTCCATCCCAGTGCCGGTGAAGAACTCAACAAGTAATGCTCAATCAAAGAGTCAACTTACTTTGGGAGGAAACGGATTTTGGGAGGAAATGGACATATTGATAGATTCCTCTGCTTTGAACTGCTTGCAGAACTTGCCTGGACTATGTAACTATCGTTTGGTGCAGCGAATTGTGGTAATGCTGGCATATCTTTGCTGATGGTGTCACCAGTGATGCAATTTTTCCCAAGGAGCCGTCAATTGGCTTGGTGTCGTGGCATTTCTGTATCCTCCTCCCTTCTGCTAGTGATGGTCTAAAATTTGGGGGCCAATGGCTTATGCTGGACCGGTAGTCAGTGACGGGTATGATCCAATTGCAGTGGTATCAACCTAAGACAGGAGGCTGACGCCTAAAGGTCAGTTTTCCGATGACGGGTAAGAACCATATGTTGAATTGGACAACCTACCAGGCACGGTCCATAAGCCACATTAACCTCACTCCCCCACTGGCACCAAGGCCAAATTTGGGGGGCAACAGAGGTGAGGCAAAGAACCTCACCCCCCCACTGGTGCATAGACCTATCCACAAGTATGGCTGTATGCTGGACCGGTAGTCAGTGACGGGTATGATTCAATTGCAGTGGTATCAACCTAAGACAGGAGGCTGACGCCTAAAGGTCAGTTTTACGCCCTATTCCCAGCAGGAATAATCTTAAACCTTAAACCTGGAACCTAAACCGGGAACGCCCTAAACACGATTATCTTAAAACCGGGAACACCCTAATCTGCCTTGGTCCTTGAGCAAGGTCACTTACATTCAATGTCACTGCAACATGTCAGCAACATGGGGTACGCTGGCAAGGAAATTGTCATACCTACTTGGCTAATGGCTCCCAGCATCTCCCCCCTTCTGATTAATTAAACAACAAGCAATGTGGCTTAAGGACCGTGCCTGGTAGGTTGTCCAATTCAACATATGGTTCTTACCCGTCATGGGAAAAACTGACCTTTAGGCGTCAGCCTCCTGTCTTAGGTTGATACCACTGCAATTGAATCATACCCGTCACTGACTACCAGTCCAGCATACAGCCATACTTGTGGATAGGTCTATGCACCAGTGGGGGGGTGAGGTTCTTTGCCTCACCTCTGTTGCCCCCCAAATTTGGCCTTGGTGCCAGTGGGGGAGTGAGGTTAATGTGGCTTATGGACCGTGCCTGGTAGGTTGTCCAATTCAACATATGGTTCTTACCCGTCATCGGAAAACTGACCTTTAGGCGTCAGCCTCCTGTCTTAGGTTGATACCACTGCAATTGGATCATACCCGTCACTGACTACCGGTCCAGCATAAGCCATTGGCCCCCAAATTTTAGACCATCACTAGCAGAAGGGAGGAGGATACAGAAATGCCACGACACCAAGCCAATTGACGGCTCCTTGGGAAAAATTGCATCACTGGTGACACCATCAGCAAAGATATGTCAGCACTACCACAATTAACATGGGGTGCGCTGGCAAGGAAAAATTGCATCACCAGTGACACCATCAGCAAAGATATGCCAGCATTACCACAATTCGCTGCACCAAACGATAGTTACATAGTCCAGGCAAGTTCTGCAAGCAGTTCAAAGCAGAGGAATCTATCAATATGTCCATTTCCTCCCCAAAATCTGTCTCCTCCCAAAGTAAGTTGATTGTCAGAAGAGGTATACAGTGTTCTGCAGCAATTCTTCCTAGCATTCCTACACTGGCTAGTTGATCAGAAAACTGGTCTCGATCATCTTCTTGAAGTTCACTTATTTCTTCTTCCTCACGAGAGGCTACACCATTGGCAGTCAAATTCCTTGTGCCATCTGGAGCAGCTAGGTGGCAGTGAATATAGGAATTAAAAACTTGAACTGCATGTTGGGTAAAAAAGCCTTTGTGGAAATGTTTGTCATCTTGGACCCAAGTTAGCCAGGACTCCAACAACTTATCATATGCTTCCATGTATACCATATCATCCTTATCAAGCACTTCTTCCAATGCAGCACTTCCCCAAAAAGAACAAGTGAGGTGTGTGAGGCAGTTAACAAAGGAGGAGAAAAGTTCATTGGGAATGGCAGTTAAAACATTTCGAGGGAACACAGTTATCAGGTTGCTGATAATGCTGGAGATTCCTACAGCTTCAGAATCTTCTATTTCAATTCTATTGATAGTATTCAGCAATCCCTCAATGAAGTGTGCTAGATAATCAACTTGTGATCCTTCATCTGGGAAGATGGGTCCATGAAGAGAAGCTAACTGGGCAACGCACTGTAAAGAATCTTGTGCCATATCTGAATCTTCCCTGATTTTTTGATGTACTGTGAAGAAAAGTTCCATAACTCTGCTGTCCAGAAGAGTCTCCCGCCAGGACTCTGTTGGCTTCAACAGCACATTTTGTGAGGATTCAAACATAGCTATATAATGTCTGCCCAAATTTGGAGGAAGAAAGTTCCAGCTCAAGACTTGACTGGGAGTGCAAGGTAACGCTGAAACACTGAAGACATCTGCGCATTGAGGTTTTCCAGCCTGCTGAACTCCTGCAGAACTTCAACAGTTAAACATGAAGATCTGACGAAGGTCTTCTTCCTGAAATACTCTCTTGCAGTTACCATGGAATTCCATACTCAGTCCAATGTTGCTAGTTTTACTTGAACTTGAGAATTCACTCAATAGTGCAGTTAAAATAGAACAGGCCAGTGTTTGCACAGTGGGATTGCCACTACTTATCAACTGGCTGACTTCATGAGAAATGCTTTTGCAGTCAATTGATTTATCTAATGATCCTCGTTTTACAATTACTGCTACGGCTAATAGAATCTGTTCCCGAACATACTTCTGGAGGTTAGGCCTTTGTAAGACATAGGTTAAAAGGAATGTTCGCAGTGACTCAATGCTACCTTTTTCCAAGAGAATCCACTCTCGGACAACTGCTTCCATTATGGCTGTGGCAGCTTGAAAAAGGACATAGTCCACTTTACTAGTTTCTGTTCATTTTTTAATCCAGTGACCTTGCTCTAGCACCACAAAGAGGTTAGTTCCTCTCAGAAGACACCTCAGGCAGGTGGCAGCTAACCACCGATCACAATTTTCACAAACTTTCCTCACCTCTCTTCAACTGTTACTTCCAAAGCATGAAGAACCAAAATATGCTTGCAAACTGCAAATGGTGATTTTGATTGTCTAAATGATAAGAATATGTGCTCTGTATGTTGGCGTTGTTCATTACTGACCATGGAAGGTGGTGCCATCAGAACTTTGGCCGCGTTCTCCAGCTGAGCATCACTTCTGGGGGCCCCAGCGCCGCTGCCATCATGGTCTCTCTTCAATGACGCGCCATGCACTGCATTATGGGAGCGGGCGCCGCGACCGGCCAATCGCCGCCACGACCCCGGAGCCTCACGCGCTCCCGAGGCCGTCGCAGCCGCGGTCGACGCCGGCGTGGCGGCCTCGGCGGGCTAACAGTGCCCTGGGCGGCCAAGAGGAGAGAGTGTGAGCCAGGCCGCCGCGCTACCGTGAAGACGGCTGCAGCCTGCGCCGGAGAGACCGGGCTATCCGCCCAGACCGCGACGGCCGCACGTCTGTAACTGATTGTTTTAAAAATCAGAAATTAAACCATTACACTTAGATGGAAACATCAGAGGAGCTGAGCATTCTCCTAGGAATGTTCCTAAATTGTACCCTTAGAGCTTTGACCTCTATAGCATGATCAAGGATCAAGGGCCTTGATTTAACTGGCTCTTGTTTTCTTCTTACCTTTGGTTCTTCTCTGAGGATTGCTTTCTTTCCTGAGCCACTTTAGCACAACCCTTAAAAGGTTGCCTCTGTACAGCCTCATCCTGTCCCTGCCAAGTTAACCCAGAAGCCTCCAGTTCCCACTGGCTCCCTCCAGTGTGCAGTCCACCCTCTCTTCTTCCTGATGTCTGGTCTGTAACTCCAGGCTTGCCACGACCTGGTTGTATGCCTTTAGCTGGCCTCTTTGTCTCTGTGAGCTGATGCCCCTTATCTGTAAAAGGTGGACCTAGACTTAGATGATGTCTAAGGTCCCTGTCAATTTGACCTCTCCTTAAGAAAACTGATACACACACTTAACAGGGAACTTCCCCCAACATCTCCTCTCCAATCACCACAGGGTGTTTCTCCATGTGTGTTTTTCATGCTCCATCCTTCTTTTCCTAGGATATGACACAGGCCTTTAATTCCCTTCAGACTACATAACTTGTAGCATGAACTGGCTCATGAAAAGGAAGTGGTAGGATATGACCACACAGCATGCAGTGGGATGGTGGCTGGGACAGCAAGGATTTGGAGGTACAGGGAGACTTCTCCTCTAAGCTGGAACCTGGAATCTCCTCCAGACCCAGTGCACCCCCTTGGCTCATCCTCTTAACCATCTCCCACCCTGTTCCTACCTTCCTCATGCTTTGCCCTCTTTCCGGCCTCTGGGCACTATCATCAGGTCTGACAGTTCCATCTGAACAGGGTTGTTTTGTTTGCTTGCCCATGAAATCCTTAAGGGCCCTGCTGTGTGCTCCTGTCTTGAGAGCCTTGCCTTCTAGGAGCCACACAAGAAGCAAAGCCACCACAGGTCTCTAAAGCATAAGGAAGCCTTGGCCTACCTCCTCCCCCTATCTGAATAACCCTATCTGCTAAGGAGCATCTGGGCCCTCTTCCTTCAAGCTGGTGCAGGTCTGAAGAGGTGATCAGAGATGTGTCCTACTAGGGTAGGCAGAAAGACAAAATTACTTCCTGACAGTGATGAAATACCCATAGCCAAATACTACCAGGTCCTGCATTAAGGAAAGAGCACCTAAGATTGCATGGTAAACTTTGTGACACTGCTTCTTAACAGCTTCTGTGGCACAACACCTGCCACAGCATGGTTCTCACCTCAGCAGCTCTCCTCAGATGATCAGCTTGGGGACAACAGTTGCCCCCTACACATGAGTCTTATGGTCCCAACATGGCATTCCTTGGCAGTCCTAGAAGCACCCTAGTGAGCAGCAGGGCACTGCTGGACAGTGTCAGTGGTGTTCAGCAAACACCTTTCACAGATCCACACCTCACCAGGTAGCTCCTGTGAGCCAAGCCAGCTGGACTTTGCACTGCACCATCAGGTCTGAGCTCTTTGAGTCCATGAGGGGAAGGATATTGGTGACTTCAAAAAGGCCCTCTCATTCATAGCTTATCATAATCTGCTTCCTTTATTAACATGTTCTCCAAAATTTACTGCCCTCTTGTCCCCCATTAAGTATGCTGTCCCATTTTATTAACCTGACTTCCCTCAGAAAGGAGACTGATGTCCACACCAAGCCTATGCAAAGTCTTGCATATGGCAGCCCTCTCCTTGTTTTTTAGTGGTGTGGGCAAGACACCAATTGTACTGAAGTCTGTTTTGTGTCTTCAGAGTGTTCCTAGGATGTGAGTAGGTGTGTATACATGTATGATAGAGATTTCTTTTTATGTTGCTGTAGCCATACGTTGAAGGCCAACATCACTCATGGACATGGAGGGTGAAACAGCATAACAGTCTTTCAGTGACATTTTTTCTTTTAAAGCAAAATTGTGTATAAAAAAGTTTATTTTCTTTCTTTCATTCTTTTTTCTTTTGGCTTTGTTTCCCATTTCTAGACCAGTCCCTAGAACGAGTGTTAAGAATAGAAAATAAAATAAGCCAAACTCAAAAAACCAAAGGCTGAATGTTTTCTCTGATAAGAGGATGGTGATTCATAATGGGAGGGGGAAGGGGTGTAGAGAAGAATGAAGGAACTTTGGATTGGGCAGAGGGGAGTGAGGGAAGGGGAGAGGATGTGGGAAGGACAGTGGAATGAAAAGGACATCAGCATCCTATATACATGTGTGATTACAGTATTGGTGTGACTGCACAATGTTCAGCCAGAAGAAGGAGAAGTTGTGCTCCATTTGTGTACAGTGTGTCAAAATGCATTCTACTGTCATGTATAGCTACTTAGAACAAATTTTAAAAGATTATAAAAATTTAAACAAAGACTATAAAATAAAAACATCATGAAGAAACCATATTCACTAATTCTGAAGTCTAAATTTAAAAATTATAATTTTCCCTCTTTGCCATTTTGCAAAAATCTCCAATCTAAGATATGATGGAGTGATTCTTAAACTTGATATGCCTTTGCAGTTTTCACAGGGAAGGACATATTTTGCTGTTTGTTCTTCAGCATTAAAACTCAGGAGTCCGGATGGCAATGGAAATATAGGTCTCTTTCCATTGTGGGTTGAGTAAAATAGAGGAGAATATTTTCTTTCATGAGTCTCCATTGTTGGTGACTCAGTGTCATTGAAAGCTTTTATAAGAACAGAGGGCACAGTGGGGAAAAAAGACAGGAATTACCCAAGTGTATATGTAGCTAGGCTGTGTTAGCCAGAAACCTGTCTCAGTGCATGGTCCCCTTTACAGTGCCCATCAGGGCCAGGCAGTTCGTTGGCCTCCATCCTCAGTATAAAGGAGATCAAGGTTAAAAGAATTTGAAGATTTTCATTTCAAAGGCTGTCTGTTTCACCATCAGCTATGGGATTGTGGGTACAACTTCCCTGGCTGCAATGGCAAGTGGTTTAGTGGGAGTTGAACTCTCATCTAGGATCTGCATCTTTCTATAAGTATCCCAGGTGATTCTGATGCAGGCACAATTTAACACATTGGTGATGATTCTGATACACACATTGTGCATGTCACTGAGTCACAACAATGAACTTATTTATGAACCTTAATTGAAAATCGTATCATTCCATAAATTTTGAAATAAAAATTTAAAAAAAATACTTCAGAAAATTCTTGTGTCCTTTACCTTCCACAATTAAAATAAAGCTATTACTCTACAATGATGTCCTAGAAATAGTTAAGAATGAACAGAAACAATGGCAGCTAGAACAAAAACTGTAATCATTATCAATGAATCCAGGACCATTACCAGCAGCAACAACAAAAGACTCTTCAAGAGACCTCCCTGGGTAGAGACATGGCCACTCCTATGGGGAGATGTGAAGTCAACCTGCATTTCACCAGGTGTTTTAAGGATTTGTATGACTGCTTTTGCCTTTATAATACAGAGGAATTTGCTGGCAAAATTAGCTGAATGGTTGGAATGTCCTCAGACCCATTATTGAATTTAAAGATAAAGCAGCCAATAGTAAGGACCTCTGGCCCTGAGGTTATTGCAGCAGTCTGCAAAGTTCTCTCTTTTATCTCTGTGCCTCAAGGGCTGGTTGCCTTCATAAAATAATCAATGATCACAGGACAACTCAAATAGTCACACTTAGCAAATCAGCTTACTACAGAAAATAGAGTGAAAGTCCCGTAAAAGGGGAAGAGAAGACCCAGAAAAGAGGACAAAAAGAAAACAGAGGACAAGTACCTATTGTATCACTTCAAATATGTAATAGTATCTCCTGACCTGCTGACCTAAGTCCTTCAGAATTTACAGAGAATTCACCATGTCCCTCAGATCTCCTCACTGCTGAGGTGAGTGACAGAGGCCCTAGGGATGATTTTCCATTGCCGCAGTAACAAATTTCCACAAGCGACATGGCTGAGGAGAACACAAATCCATTATGTCAGAGTGGTAGGTTAGGAGTCCACAGAAGGTCCCACTGGTTTAAAATCACTGGGGAACAGGGCTGTCACCTAGTGGAGGATGTCAGGCACATCTGGCTTCCTTGATTTTTCTGGCTCTAGAAGCCACCCACTTCTTGGCTGGTGGCTTCTTCCTTCACCTCATTCCTGATTTAATTCTTTGTGTGTGTGTGTGAACTAGGAATAGGAGGAAATTATTCTTAATGACAAAATGCATCTATGAAGAACAAACAACTTATACAGGTACTAGTAACATGCTGAATATTCCCCATGTAACCTAGGAAACAAGGTGAGGATAGCTTCTGGAACCATGTTCACTTACTATCATGCTGGATATCTTAGTCTGTGGGAGGCCAAGCTTATGGGTGACTGAGTTACACTCCCCAGCTGGGTGCTGAGGCGCTCAGTCACAGAAATGGGTGTGTCTTGCTACAGCCCCATGGGTGAAGCTATGCTCACCTGTTCCTTTGTAATATAACCCCTTGCCCTGTTTAGGATAGAATCTTCCATGGAAGTGGCTTGTGTGTGTCCCCTTCTCTTACTGTGCCCTTGGGTGTGGCCTACCCAGGTGTCAGTCAACCTGCTGACAGTGGACATCATGAAGACAGACTCAGCCCCCGAAACCTGACCCCTTGCCTCATTTGAATAGCTTCTCCTCAATAAAAGGGGTCAGCACGTGCTCTTGCTCTCTCTCTTTCTGCGGACCCTTAAGGTCAGAGGAGCCCTCACAGCAACCCCAAAGAAAAAGGTATTTGTGTCTCTTGTGTGGTTATTTTGTGCAGCCCAGTTAGCCCAGTTTAA